AGTTCATCCCGTAGCCACCAAAGTTAAACCCAGATCCACTGCAGGAAAAACTGACAGACTCCTGAGGAGTTTTGAGCACTGGAGAAGAGGGAATGGACTGGAGGATCTGGCAAACTCACACCTGACAAATAAAAACGAGTTAAACACATGCACGATCCAAACATACTGAACATGTTTGTGGAGAATTGAACTCACAGGGCAGGGAGAGCGCCCCCATCAGGAGGACCAGTGTGTTCATCATGGTCAGACTGTGTTAGAAAGGATGTGTCTGTCACTTTATAACAGTAGACTCCAAGGATACAATATTTACATGAGTCTGTGGAGAGGAGGTTTTGTGAGGTTGGCCTACATGGAGATTCAAAGTTATGGAGCATGTTCCCTAAGCAGAGTATATGTGAGACTCACCCTGTCACTACTGGGCAACACCAGGTTAAATTTGAATCACAAAAAAAGTTTGGTATTCAGTGAAATATATTTCTCGTATTACGTACAATGGTAAAAGTTATGTTTTTTCATACAAAAATAAAGGTCTAGTAATTCACTGAACCATGTTTTTTGTATGTGACTGCACTGTGTCTTGAGAAATATAAACTTCATCACAAGTGTAATTTGTCCAAATGCCCCAAAGCAACAGTTCAATGTTTCAAATGTGTGTTATTTAGTTACTGTAGCCATTCTGTAAATGTGTAGTATTATAAAGTGACTGTATAAAAGCCTTTAACAGACATTTTTGATACATATGCACATGACACAATTTTGCAAATTTTTAATAAAATAATATGTCAAAGCTATTTCAGAATAAAAAACAAACATGTCTTCAATCAAAAAAAAATATCTCAGTGGCGTGAGATCTCCTCTTCTGGTGACTACAGTGAGTAACAGTCTGATGTGTTTTTGGACACCTCTACATATACTTTGTGTGACAGGCTGCATGTTCTGTCCATTCAGAGTCACTGTGTTACTTCAGGAATCTACATTTATACTGAACTTGTTCTTCAGGGAATCTTTGATAAAGAGTTTGGTACTACATCCAGGACAGTGTTCTCCAATCCACTCCAGGCCTTTCCCAGCAGGCTGTCTGATCCATACAGTAGTGTAGGTACCACCAAAATATGAGACAGTACAAGGGATGGTGAGAGTGTGTCCTGGCTGCACAGTCACAGAGGCTGGCTGTGTCAGTGTCTCACACTTCACAGAGAAGGAAACAGAGTGAGTGTGACCCAATAAACTGTCGGCCGTATTCTGTCAATCAAACTCAGTGTGTCCAGCAGCAGCAGCACACACACACTCCTCATGGTTGGACTCATGCTGTTCTCATGGAGACTCCTCCCTATTTCTGCTTTTATATCTTTGACCATTTGCATGACGAGATCAGTGAAACAGTCTCCTTCCCTTTCACACAGACCATCACAGAAGACATTTCATTCTCTTGAAATCACTTGTACACTGTCAAAATCACATGTACAAGTGATTTTTGACTCTGTAGAGCAGGGGGAAAGTGCACAGGTCTGGGATGTTAGTGTTGATTGTTGGACTGTGCAGAACAGCATTCCTCAGTCACATAACAGATAATTGTTGTATTTGTCCTGACCTGTGATATAATATTATTGATTCAGAATTGCTGAGGGGAGTCAGAAAGGCATATATATAGTGACAGATTTTTATTTATTTATTTTTTCTGGCAACTTCTGAAAAAAATGAGCAGCAAAAACTTTTTTTGTCTGACACATTTCCAAATGGTGCTACCTAATTTCAATACAGAATTCATCATATTTATGCATCTATATAAAAATACACAATTAAAAGTTAATAAATTTGATAGCACACATCCATTTGCTATGAAGCCTTATTAGCAAAAAATGTCAGTGGTGTGAGAGCGCCTCATCTGGTGGTTATAGTGAATAACAGTTTGATGTGTTTTTGTACAGCTCTACATATACTTTGAGTGACTGTGGCTGCCTGGCACAGTAGTACACTGCAGTGTCTCCAGGCTGCATGTTCTGTCCATTCAGAGTCACTCTGTTACTGGAGGAATCTACATTTATACTGAACTTGTTCTTCAGTGAATCTTTGATGAACATGGTGCATCCAGATCCACAGTGTTCTCCAATCCACTCCAGGCCTTTCCCAGCAGGCTGTCTCACCCAGTGTGTAACATAACTGCTAACATCATATGAGACAGTACAGGGGATAGTGAGAGTGTGTCCTGGCTGCACAGTCACAGAGGCTGGCTGTGTCAGTGTCTCACACTTCACACCTGTGGAGGAAACAGAGTGAGTGTGACCCAGTCAACAGTCACCCATATTCTGTCAATCAAACTCACTGTGTCCAACAGCCAGCAGCAGCAGCACACACACACTCCTCATGGTTGGACTCATGCTGTTCACAAGGAGACTCCTCCCTATTTCTGCTTTTATATCTTTGATCCATTTGCATGAGGATCACATTATGACCATTATATCTCCGCCCATTACTTGCATCACTGGAAACATTCAAGTTTGTTAGAATTTATTTTTATGTATTTATTTTATTTATTTATTTATTTGAGACAGGGACAGTGCACAATTTTAGCATTAACCTTGACAGGAGAGATGCATTGTACATCAGGTTGTAGCATCAGTGCTAATTTCCACCTGTAGTCCCTGGACAGGTTCATTGATTGATTGTATTTAACTGACCTTGACTATCAACTGTTCTGGAGACCTGCAGCATGTTTTGGGTTGGGAATCATCAATGAGATAAGTTCAGTGAAACAGACTTCTTCTCTTTCATACAGGCCATCATAGAAAACTTTTCAATCTCTTGTCAAAACCACATGTACAAGTGATTTCTGACTTTGGGGTGCACAGGTCTGGGGCACAGGTCTAACACACAATGTTATGGGCCCCAAGCACCAGGGCTGCTCTAGCAGTGACGTCGCAATCTGAAAAAGATATATTAATCAGTAAGAGAAAAGAAGACAAAAATCATTGACTTTCACATCCAGATTGCATTTAGGGCAAACAGGAAGCTTCACTGTAAAACCTAATTGGTCAAAGAGAGAGTTTGACCTGAGAGGCCGTGGGGCAACATGTGGGGTTAAAGATCAGAGATGTACTGAGGCACAAGTGAATAGTGCTCTAAAAACAAATAGTACAGTTTTAATTGTGTATTTAACAGATAACCTGTGGAGTTGGGTGAGTATGGGTGTGATATGGTCTCTCTTTGTAGAATTGGTGAGCAGTCTGGCAGCAGCATTTTGGACTAACTGTGACTTGTAGAGGGAGGATTGTGGGAGGCTGAAGTATAATGAGTTGCAGTGGTCCAGTTTATTACAGTTATAATCATCAAAGAGACAAGACTCCTTCCCTTTCACACAGGCCATCACAGAAGACATTTCAGTGTCTTGAAATCACTTGTACATTGTCAAAATCACATGTACAATTGATTTCTGGGAGAAGAGCGGGGGAGAGTACACAGGTCTGGGGTGTTACAGTGTTGACTGTTGGACTGTGCAGAACAGCATTCCTCAATCACACAAGATAATTATGAGACTAGATGTGTGTAAAACAGATAACAGTTGCATTTATCCTGACCTGTGATATAGTACTATTTATTCAGAATTGCTGAGGGGAGTCAGAAAGGCATCTGGTGACAGCTTTTTTTTATTTCATTTTTTAATTTTTTGGCAACCTCTGAAAAAAGTGAGCAGCACATTTTTTTATTTTTTTTTTATATGACACATTTCCAAATGGTGCTGCATAATTTCAATACAAAATTCATCATATTTATGCATCTATATAAAATATGCAACTAAAAGCTGGCAAATTTGGTGTCACACATCCAGTTGCTATGAAGCCTTTAGCAAATGATATTTGTGGTGTGAGAGCGCCACATCTGGTGGTTATAGTGAGTAACAGTCTGATGTGTTTTTGTACAACTCTACATATACTTTGTGTGACTGTGGTCACCTGGCACAGTAGTACACTGCAGTGTTTCCAGGCTGCATGTTCTGTCCATTCAGAGTCACTGGAGGAATCTACATTTATACTGAACTTGTTCTTCAGTGAATCTTTGAAAATGAGTTTGGTACTACATCCAGCACAGTGACATCCAATCCACTCCAGGCCTTTCCCAGCAGACTGTCTGATCCAGTGTGTCGCATAACCATGTGCAGTCACATCATATGATACAGTACAGGAGATGGTGAGCGTGTGTCCTGGTTGCACAGTCACAGAGCCTGGCTGTGTCAGTGTCTCACACTTCACACCTGATGAGGAGTGGGTCTGGGTGTGTAAGGCTCTGTTCACTTCACCTTGTGTTTGAGAGTCTCTTTTCTTTGTTTAAATAGGATGGACACAGAGACACATGGTGAAAATATCAGTGTTCATAATGCAGTGGTGGCACACAGATGCTGGTCAGAGCAAGAAAAGAGTGCAATACATGACCTGTGCATAAATGTACCTTTTATGTCAAAAAAAAAGACAAAATTAAAAGTATGTTTTTTTCATTATGTGTGTGTTTACTGAACTGAAAAACAAAGAAGTACATGCATCCTTACTGTGATCAACTTTGCATCTCCACAACATGGACTCTTGTTTGGTCTGGAAGAGGGCAATTTCTTACTTCTCCTGCTTATTTCTGTGGAAATGGTTTTCCTTTGGCTATAATATTCCACAGTATTGCCTAAAATGTGTGTTCTGTAGTGTGGGTTTAATTTTCTATTTCCATTGTATCATGCAGTTGTCTTTTCACCTCCAAAAAGTGACATATTTTAGGATCACAATGCACCCAAGAGGTGTATTTTATTAATGCCGAATACTCACTCTGATTCTCAACTTTGCTGTAAGCATCACTGACACATGATAAGTATCACCAAACAGACTCCCTCCTTTTCATACTAACTCAAGACAGTTCAGGTTCTCATCAAAGTCACATTCACAAGTGATCTGTGACTCTGGGAGAAGAGCAGGGGGAAAGAACACAGCCCTGGGGAATTCCAGTGTTGATGGCCCCACTGCTTAAGACACTCTTCCCTAGTCGCACATGCAGAAAACAAATGTAAGTAAGAATGGAAGAAGAATTTGTTTCAGATTGCTTTACCTGTTGTGTCTTTGTCCAGTTGGAGTCAGTAAGTGCATCTGGTGTAACAACAGGCTGTAACTACCCAGGCAGGTTTTACACCAAAGTTGCTGCTCCTGAAAGAAAGTGGGCAGCTCAAATGTGTCTTTGTCACATAGATTTATCAAAGGCAAGAAAATGCATATGTTCTTTGTAACATGTATGAATGTATTATACAATTCTGTGGATTTAACACAAAATAAACCACTGAGAACTTAAGCATACAATATATGCAAATACAACCATAATATTTACAAATACAAAGTATTATTGAAAGAGGAAGTTGTTAGCACAAGTTCAGCTGCAGTTAAACAAATCTTAACACTTGAGTTTAGTGGTGTGAGAGCTCCTCCTGTGTTGGCCACAGTGAATAACAGTCTGATGTGTTTTTGTACAAGCTCTACACATGTACTTTGTGTGACTGTGTGATACCGAGCACAGTAGTACACTGCAGTGTCTCCAGGCTGCATGTTCTGTCCATTCAGAGTCACTGTGTTACTGGAGGAATCTACATTTATACTGAACTTGTTCTTCAGTGAATCTTTGTAAAATAGGTTGGGACTACACCAAGGACAGTGATGTCCAATCCACTCCATTGCCTTTCCCAGCAGGCTGTCTGATCCATGCAGTACCGTAAGCTGCTAACAGAATAAGAGACAGTACAGGAGATGGTGAGAGTGTGTCCTGGCTGCACAGTCACAGAGGCTGGCTGTGTCAGTGTCTCACACTTCACACCTGTGGAGGACAGAGCACAATATTGAGGATCAAACTGTGCTGTTTAGTTGTACCAGAGTTTACTGATGTGAACAGAGACTTACAGGATCCAGCTGCCAGCAGCAGCAGAAGAGCTACAGACAACATCATCAGTGTGGAGTGCACTGTCACACTCTCACATGGGCCTTATATAAACACACAGGAGTAGTTTCCACAGTTTCCATTCAAAATAAAGGGGAGGGGCATCTGTGGGAAACAAAAAATGGGTTTTCTATTCATTCATTCACAACTTCCCTGAACACAAATGAACAGTAAGAAGCAAACACCTCCTCTAGTGGTGAGACAGTAAACTACATGCTCTATTAACCTATTGATTTAGCACATTGTGTTGGACTGCTGTAGTAGTTTTACATTCATTCACTTGAGGTAGTAGTTTGCCTGATGTAGTTGTGTGTCCAGACGAGGAGTGGGTCTGGGTGTGTAAGCCTCTGTTCACTCCACCTTGTGTTTGAGAGTCTCTGTTCTCTGTTTAAATAGGATGGACACAGAGACACATGGTGAAAATATCAGTGTTCATAATGCAGTGGTGGCACACAGATGCTCCTCCTGTGTTCAGCTGAGTTACCCTGGACATCTGAGTAGTGTTTAGAGCAGGAAAAGAGTGTAGCACATGACCTGTGTGTAAATGTACCTTTATTGCCAAAAATAGACTCAATTAGAAGTATGTTTTTTCATTATGTGTGTGTTTATTGAACTGAAAAAGAAAGAAGAGCATGCATCCTTAAAGTGAACAGCTTTGTATCTCCACAACATGGCGTCTTGTTTGGTCTGGAAGAGAGCAATTTCCTGCTTCTCCTGCTTATTTATCAAAGGTAGTTTAACTAAATTAAATAGTTTAAATAAAATGCATATGTTCTTTATGACACATATAACTATTATACAATTTTGTGGATTTAACACAAAATAAACCTCTAAGAAAATTATGCAAATACAACCACAACATTTACAAATACAAACTATTATTAAAAGAGGACGGTGGTACCACAAGTCCAGCTGTAGTTAAACAAATCTTAACACATTTATTGTGAAAGTGGTATGAGAGCTCCTCCTGTGTTGGCCACAGTGAATAACAGTCTGATGTGTTTTTGTACAGCTCTGCATATACTTTGTGTGACTGTGGGTCTCGAGCACAGTAGTACACTGCAGTGTCTCCAGGCTGCATGTTCTGTCCATTCAGAGTCACTGTGTTACTGGAGGATTCTATATTTATACTGAACTTGTTCTTCAGTGAATCTTTAAGATAAAGAGTGCCTCCTGTACGGTAACTCCCAATCCACTCCAGGCCTTTCCCAGCAGACTGTCTGATCCATGCTGTGTAGTAGCTGCTAACAGAATATGAGACAGAACAGGAGATGGTGAGCGTGTGTCCTGGCTGCACAGTCACAGAGGCTGGCTGTGTCAGTGTCTCACACTTCACACCTGTGGAGGACAGAGCACAATATTGAGGATCAAACTGTGCTGTTTAGTTGTACCAGAGTTTACTGATGTGAACAGAGACT